CATCAGTCTCTGTCTTAATTTCTTTCCCTCGTTTGTCTGGCTGCCATCGGTAGAGATGGCTCAGAAGAGTTAAGAATTCTCTGCTCTATTTTCTGCTGTATCCATAGAATTTACAATAGTGCCTGGCAAGAGGACCCAGCAGGAATGAAACCCTTCAAAGATTAATAAGGAACACAGGCCTAAGAGGACAAACAGATCTCATAAACAGCACAATGTGGCAGCAAAAAGAAATCATGGTCGGCTCCACTCAAGAGGGTCAGCAGCCCCTCCTGGAGGCAGAGCTGCAGGGCAGCATTGTAGAGGCCGGGGTGAGAGCAGGGGGCAGCCCAGACACAGGAAGCGGTGTGTAAAAGGCGCAGAGTGACTCATTGCACACTTGAAGAAACCTGAATAGCTTCAATAAGGTGAACAGTGAAAGGAAGCCAAGTTAGGTTATAATTGGAAGGCAGAGCACACAGGCCAGGGGCAAGGAGCCATGGAGCCGCCCTGATCTGCAAGAGCAGGAAAGGGAGTGGGAGGATGAAGTGAACCTGGAACAAAGAGAACATATGCATCTCCACAAAAACCAAACTCGTTAAACTAAGCAGCAGGGTTGAGGTTGGGACTAAGATGTGTGTCTTAGTTGAATACAAAGAATCCACTCTTCCAAGATTCCACATTGCTTCAGCATGACTTCCTAAGAAAGCAACACTTTGGGAATGAGGGGGAAAAAAAAAAGGAATGACATGATTTCTCTCTCTGTCTAACACACACATACACACAAGTGTCAAGTCTTGCAGGTTTGACAGTGTCCAGAAACCAAATCACGTGACTTGAGGAGGCTGCTGTCATCTCACAGCTTTCCTCTCCTCTAAAATTATATCATGGCCAGGGCAACTCTTTGCTCATAGTGTCCCAAAAGCTTAGGAGGAAAAGCCTGCCACTCCCAAGATTCATTTCTTGGGGCTGTAATACAGCACAGTGGGTAAAACTGCCACCTGCAATCTAGGTCCCACTTCCAATCTAGCTCTCAGCTAACAATAGAAGCAGTGGAACTCAGTCCAAGTACCTGGGGTCCCTGTCTCCCAGATGAAACCTCTGGCTGCTGGCTTCAGTCTAATCCAGTTCTGGTAAGGTGGCCATCTGAGGAGAGAATCAGAGAATGGATGTCTTCTCTCCCTCCATATCTCTCTGTAACTTTGTCTTTCAAATAATTAAAATGAATCCTTAAAGAGGGAAAGATATGTGTCCATGACTTGAAGCTTGATTATCTAGTTGGGATGGCACAGCTAGAAAATCCTCTACCTGCAATGCCAGCAACCCACATAGGCACCAGTTTGAGTCCTGACAGCTCTACTTCTGATCCAGAGCCCTGTTAATGGCCTGAAAAAAAAGCAGGGATGGCCCAAGGCCTTGGGCACCTGCACCCACACGGTAGACCCAGAATAAGATCCTGGCATCAGACCAGCTCAGGTCTGTCTATACTGGCCAGCTGGGGAGTAATCAACAGATAGAAGATACCTCTCACTCTCTCCGTCTTTCTGTACCTCTTACAGTCCAGTACAACAAAATTTTTAATTACTTATTTAAAAGAAAGACTGACTCCTCTGGGAAGGAGATGCTCAAGGTGAATGCCTACTACTGAAATGAAAACAGGGCCACTCCAGCACTTACAAAGCGACAATGGCAGATGACTGGTCCATCCAGGCACCACTACCAAGAAACATAGAATGGGTGCAAGGCAGACAGCAGTGCCGAGCTTGGCCGTCACTGCCTTCTCTTGGACTGACAGGAGAGAACCATATTTTCAGTGGCTCCACGCCAGTTGCCCTAACTGCTGGAGGCGAGACAGTGTGACATCATCACAGAATCCTGGAGACCGTGACCTTATATCTCTCATCCTCATTGTCCAGAGGCTGAAAGCAGGGAACTAACTTTTCCCCAGGGAACATGCACTGCCGGTAGGTATATGAACACTATCTTACCCTACAGGTCTGGTACATCCTGTGTTCCAATCAGAGCTAAATAATTAGTGTCCATTGGGCTGCACCCACCAGAGAGACCCAGAAGAAGCTCCTGACCTAGTTCCAACCATTCCTATCATTTGGAGAGTGAAACAGCAGATGGAAGATAGACGATCTCAATCTCTCTATCTCTGCTGCTTCTTTCTGCAACTCTGCCTTTCAAATAAATACATCAATCTCTTCTAATTTTTCTTTCGGTAAATTTTCTTCAAAAAAAAACAACATGAATCTTACAAAAATTTCCTCTACCCGTTCCCCTCCCAGATCCACATCCAATACTTTCAATGACAGTGTACATTAAGAATGAGAGCTATGAAAATCCACCTTTTTGGAAAGGAATGGCCCATAAAGCATTCTAGATAAATAACCATAGGTAAAAGAAACATTCTTTCTATTTTTCAATGAAATTAACACTCAATGTTTTTTAAATATCTATTTTATTATTATTACTATTGGGAAGACAGAGTTATAGAGAAAGGCGGTGAGACAGAATATTCCACCCACTGATTCACTGCCCAAAGAGTGCAATGGCTGCAGCTGGACCAGCGCAAATCTAGAAGCTTGGAGCTTCCTGTTGGTCTCCCACAGGGGTGCAGGAGCCCAAGCAATTAGGTCATCCTCTGCTGCCTTCCCTGGTACATTGGCAGGCAATAGGATGGAAACTGGAGCAGTTAGGACTCCACAGATACCCATACAGGATGCTGGCATATCACAAGTGGTAGGTTAACTTACATTGTGGCACTAGCTTTGGCTTAGTGTTAAGCTTACTAATGAAGGCTTTGCTTCTTTGGCTAAGCACACAGGACCCAATAACTCTCCTCAGTACCTGACCCATATGCCTATACCACTATCTGTTCTCAGCCTCCTATTTACATTTTAAAAATTATTTTTGAGAAGGGGCATGGAAGGGATAGGAAGAACCATGCAGAGCCTGCCCATCCACTAGCCCATTCTCCAGATAAATGTTGATAAATGTTGAAACTTGACTTGATAACTGTTGCCCAGTAGCTGGGAACTCAATCTTGGTCTCACTTGTGGATGGCAGGACACAACTACTTGAGCCATCAACTACTGCCTCCCAGAGGGTATATTAGCGGGAACTGGCAGCAAAGCTGGGAAGGAGACCCAAGCACTCTAACACAGAATACAACCATCCCAAGCAGTGCCTAACCACTGCACTGAGCACTCACTCATTGCCCATTTCTTCTTTACAGCATTACTTTCTAAACAAATACAAATTGCTTCAACCACTTCTTTAGGCTATCACTCATGTCATCTCTTAGGTAGGAAACAGTTATCAAGTCGAGTTTCAACATTTATCAAGGATTAGATGTCCAGTGATGGCAAGCAGGATGCTGGGTTGGATATTTAGAGTGACTACTAAGTGGGAGGCACTATTATAAGAGCTATCAATACACAAACTGACTCCATGCTGACACCCAGATAGAAGGTGGTATGAGGCCCCCTCGCTGTCCAAAACAGATGATTTTAACCATGCTGAGGCAATCACTGTCAGGCCAAAGAATGGGCCAAGACCCAAGTTGGGCCAGTCACCCATGGGGACTTTCCTAACTGGAGCAGGGGGACAGAGGTTTTCCCTCTCTAGTCACAGAGTTGTGGGGATGGAAGCCTAGGGGCTATGGCAACTTAGTGCTAGCATGTTTGAGAGAATGTAGCCAGCAGACAGAGAAGACTGGAGATGAGACAGAGACCGGATAGTATTAGAGCCCAACTCCAACGCTGTCAAGTGCACAAGCCAATTAGTTGCTTTGAAGGGAGGAAAATAATTTGCTTGGGATTTTGTCACTTTCCATGAAATGAGCCCTAACAAGCTCTTAGGCTCATTCTTATCACAGTGCCAGTCCCTTCCTCCGAGGTGGTTCTGACCAGGAAACAAAAGATGCACAGGAGACTTGAATTGTGTGTCTTTCAACTGGGGCAGCCCGACAATTGTTGGCTGACAGGAAGCACAAACACTTGCAGGCACGTGTATACGCCAGCAGATTGCAACCAGACTGTGCAGTCTGCCTCACCCTGGCTCTCTGTCACATCCAGCACAGCAGCAAGCTCTGCTGGCTGTAACTCCAAACTCAGTCAGGAAACCAATCACTTTCCACAGTCTCCACTCTCGCCTTGGTCTGGCCACAGCTTATACTGCAACAACCCCCATCACCTTCCCCTGCTTTTAGCCTGACTCAGCACACAGCAGCACAATCACCCCCAGAAAATGTAAGTCAAGGGTGTGTCATCTCATGCAACGGTACATGTCAGAGCTGTCCTTCAGCTGCTTTAGCCTCCTCTGGGCCACTCCCACTCTACCTCCACCATATGCTTTACCTCATATAGCCTCCAGGTTCCCATTTCCTTCCACAAACTTCTTCAGCCTCTTCCAGGTCTCTGTGCAGAGGCCTTCTGGTGAGGCAGTGCTTGAAGGCCTGATTAAAGCTCCACGCATGACCTGCCCCAGCACTGCTTTCCTCCATCACACTTCTCACCATGTAACTTACTCCACTGATTTTACCCTACCTAAAAAGCAGAGAGGGGAAGAGAGGAAGGCAAGGAGAGGGAAAAAGGAAAAGGACATGAGAAAGAGACAGAGAGAACCTTCCATCCATTAGCTTACTTCCCAAAAATCAGTCAGAGCCAGAGTAGCACTAGGCTGAAGCCAAGAGGCTGGAACTCACTCAAGGTCTCCTGTATGGACACAAGCCTGAGCATCAGCTGCCTCCTCGGAAGGGGAACTGGAAGCAGAGCCTGGGCTCACACTGGACACTCTAACATAGCATACAGTATCCCAAGGGCACACTGACCACTGACCCAGACGCCAGCTTCAATTTTCCTACATATTTATTGTCTCCCTAGAATGTTGGCTTTGACTGCTTATTACTAAATATCTGCTGAGTGAAATGAATCCAGACTCAAGCTCCTGTTCTGAAGCTTGGGAAGCAACTGTAAACTACAGCAGAAAAAGAAATGCAGAAAACATTTTGTACTTACTTGGCACATCGTACCCAGTGTGTGTGTTGGTACAAGGAGTATAAGAAGCGCTGGCGATATACACTCCATACTTTTATGGATTTGTCTTCTGAAGCTGTTGCTAGTAATTGGCCATCAGCTGAAAAATCCACACTTCGCACTGGAGCTGTGTGAGCTTTAAATTCTGACGATTTCCCTCTCCTAGAAATGAACAATTTAATATTTATTACTCGCTTGATTTAACTGACCAATACCTAAACACATTTAATGGTTCAATTCTTGAAAAACTTAACAAACTTACGAAAAGACCAAGCTATGCTGTGCTTGTCATCAATCCTGTTTAGAAAGCTGATACCTAACTGGAAAGGGCCTGTTCTCACCCATGAAAGGCATGTACTGCTTCTTTAAAAATCAGAAGCCAGGGAAGTATTAACAAATCTTTAGCAGACATTTCCCATGCCTACCATTCCTGTAAGGATGGCAGTTTATGAAGAAGTTATGGCCGAGGAGAAGCCAGTGACTCCAAGGCAGTGTTTCTGAGTGATCACGAGGGAGTAGCGTGGACTGGCACGCCAGTTAGGAAGAGATGTTCTCTGTGTCATCTGCCTCTACACAGGATGTCCCAGGGAGACCTGACTGCCTGCTCTACCCTCACTTCCATCCACCAGTAATGACAACAGACACTCATGGTGTGCACCAAAGGCCTTACACATCCTGTAGGCTGAATCTCACATTCAGCTAAATGGTAGTAACAATACTTCAGGCCTCACCACCTTGAAATGACAGGTACATTTTCCCCTTGGCTGGGACTGAATAAATACACCAGAAAAATAAATAGGAAAAAAAATAATGTGAGACTTTTAAAAGATAGGAAACAGAAAAAAAATGGTTAAAATTATTTGGAGCAGGTTAGCCAGAGTTGCAGTTCCTGAGTGATATTTGGGAAATACTATACTGTCTCAGTGTTTCCAGGTCTTACAGGCACATTCACATTACACTGTGTCTGAGACCTGGCACTTTTTCCATTTACAAGGTCATATTTCTAATGGGGAAAATGGCCATAATTTCTAGCAAAGGTCAGACAACAGAATTTAATCAGATACAACACATCTGTTATAGATTTTCCAGTGTTCACACTGACCTCCCATAGACCCACACCTCATTCAATATCGGTTGCCTTGGTGCTTTAGAACCAGAAGCCTAGAAGCCACACCCCACCTCACCCCAGGCCCCGCACCAATTGCTCTTCTCCCACAGTTAGTACTTGACAAATCATATTGCCTACGCTTTCTAAATATTTGTTGACTCTTCCTTTTCCTTGTATGCCAGCTCTGCCTGCCGCAAAGTGGATATATCCTCAACATCCTTCACCCCGATTACTGCCGAAAGCCTCTTAACTGGACTTTCTACTGTAATCTTTTATCCCCTCTAGTCACCTACATACTGTGCTTATTACCTTTCTAAAAGTCTATCTCCAAACAATGCCCAGTGTTAACCTGTCTCTGGCTCCCTTCAACAGAAAACACAATGCCCCTCTCTTCGGCAGGACACTCTGCTACTGTGCTGAACTTTGTACTTACAACAGCCACGCAGCTCCACCTGTGCCTCTCACTTAGTTTTCTCAGACTACATCTATGCCCATCCCCCAGAATATCATGACTAAGCTGCAAAGGCTTAATTGCTTCCTATCTGCTATGATAATTTTACTTACTACACTACAAAGTAACTTAAACACAGGCATTTTTCTCTGCTACTGTGTAGTAAGTTTCTTGTGGCCAAGAATGACCATGTATTTATAAGATCAGCATCTACCACATCAGGTACATAAAAAGAGCTAGATATATTTTCCTGACTTCCATCAGTAGAATCAATATTTAAAGGTTCTTAGCACCAACCTGGCTTACACTCCTCGTAGAAGTCTAAGGTAACGTTATCATTAATCTCTATTACCTGGTTGATGACATCCTAGCTGTAAAAAGGAAACCAATATTTAACAAAACTCAGGAGGGACAAATCACGGATCAGTCTGTGAGATTTCAAGGGAGATTTCAGTGAGGAGAAAGGAGGAGTGTGGTTTGGCCTGAATCTGAGTATCAGGCCTGAATAATACAAAGAAAAGGCCTGGGATCTGCAATCACCAGGAAGCCAAGAGACAGGTGGTGTCCCGGAACACCTCACACCCCAGGCAGGATCCTCTGCGAACCTTTACCTAGTAGGCCGCCTCTCTGTTGCAGACTGGCCTCACCATTGAATCCTGTCCCAACAGGAAGCATACAGGAAACCAAGATAGGAGTGTCCTGTGTTTGCAGAGCTGCAGCTTAACTGGTTTCCAGTTCCTTGTCTTAACATAAGCTTTTAACCTCCCAAGTATTTACTTGCCTTCTCAGCCAAATTTTCTCGACTGTCCAACTTGACAAGTGAGTGCAGGACTGGAAGTGCCTTCACACTTCTCTCACCTTTTCTTTCTCAGCCTTCTAGTCATCACTGTAGTGCTCACCCACAAACATGGATGCTAATATTGCCCTTATCCCTGTAGAGGAATATATACTGCATTTTACAGGAAGTGGAATCTGTTTATTCCCCCTCCTTTTCAATCTGTGCTGGTGTTGTGACTTACCCTGAGGTCTCAGGCAGCTTGTTTCTCTGGCTCTGCCCACCACTGCCATCTTGGTGGGAGGGGCCCAGGTGAGTTCTAACTTGGGGATTAGGTGAATGGATTTCCTGGTAGCGTGGAGGCTGCTGGGGAGTCCTGAGCTAAGCTGGATTCAATGCTTGGGACCCTACCCCCAGCCACTGCTGTCAGGCAGTGTGCAAATCCTGAGGCTTTGTCTGCTAGCCGCCCAGCAGTGAGCTCTGGAGTCTTGGGTATGTAGAATTGCTGCCTAGGGTCATCCATGTATAAGGCATGTACATGTACATGACGAATGAATCCTGAGGGACTTGCAACAACAAGGCCACTGGACTTGCAGGTAAGCAAAGGGACTGAGACTTGGTGGTTTGGAGGAGAGAGACCAAAAGATCTGTATGGGACAGACTGATGCACCAGCCCACAGGAGAGTCCTGAGTTGGGCTTATTAACCTGGAACATTTCTGACCACCACATACCAGTCCACACAAAAACTAGGGATGGGGATCAGTCTAGCAGGACTAGATCCTAGTACCTGACTGAATGTTAAAAAAGGAGATGGGTCACATAAGGCCATGACACTAATCAGCACATGAGAGAACCAGATCCAGGGGAAGATTCTGTGGGGGATTTGTGGGCCAAATCCTATGGAAATACGAGTCTTGCTGGTTAGCTCAAGAGTTGGGGTGGTAATGGGCTGAGCTAGATGTGACCATGAAACCTGCCAACCAACACTCATGGGTACTGGGACTAAGAATAGTCTGGGCAGGTCCAGGCTACAGTACTGGCATGTGCATCTTGAAACAGTGTGGGGGTGAGCTAAGTCGCAACAGTCACCAGTTCATACAAGGCCAAGATGGAGAGGAAGGCCATGTGAGGCACGAGCAAGATCTGGGTCTGGGAGTGGACCAAGCGGGGGAACTTGGGAAATTCCCCTAGTGGGTTATAGCTCCCTCTGATCCAGGCCTGGAGATTGGGCAGGTTGGGCAAAGTAACTCCAATAGTTGGCTAATGTGTGGGTAGGCTTTGAAAGCAGGCAGACTGGGCAGGACTAAGCAAACCTTAGCACACTGGCAAGTGCAGTTACCAGGTTGTAGCACAGGTCATGCTGGGCTAGGCTGTCACACCTACCAGTATGCATGAACCAGGGATGGGAGCAGACTGAGCAGGGCCAGCTGCCAGCACCCGTCAGCGAAAGTTGGACCTGGGGACAGATCTAGTTAGGACAGGCTACAGCATCCAAAGGCAAAGTCCAAGACAGGTAAGGGACTACGCCAAGCTGGATCAGAGCAACCACTGGTACACACAAAATCTGAGGCTGGGAACAGGCCTGGTTGGGGAGCAAAGGGGACACCCAGCTGGGTTGTGGATCCCACTGGTAAGTGTGAGGGCCAGAGTGGGGACTGCGATCTGGTCTGGACATGGCTACAATGTCCCTCGGCACATGTGTAGACTGGGTCTGGGGTGTGCCAGACTGGGCTAGATTCCAGTGCTCATGAGAACTAGGGTGGGTATAGGACAGGCTGGGCTAGAACTCTGCCCCTGCTGAGCCATGTGTGAGCCGTGTCTGGGTGTGGACCAGGCTTGGCTGGGCTATAACTCCCAACAGAAAAAAACAGAATGAGTAAATGCTGATCAGGAAAAGCCACTGTTCCTGCTAGGACAGGAGGTGGATTAAATAGGGCTAGCCCAAGGACCCACTGTAATTGGGGATGGGCCAGGACCAGCCAGGCTATAGCACCCACTGGCAAATGCTGAGGTGAGGAGCACCATACCAGACTAGGCCGCAGCATCCAACCAGCACAAGTGAGACCCAGGGTGGGAGGAAGCAAACCCAGTAGAAGGGTTATGTGGGGCTTCCCTGCTAGACTACCACTTCCACTAGTAAGAGTGAGAGCTGAGATGGGAGCAGACTAGGCCAGGCAGGACTACAACACCTTTTGGCCTTATGCCTTATGTGAGCTGGATCAGGGAAAAACCAGGCTGGGTTGACTGTTCTTCCTGGTACATGCCTAAGCCAGAGTGGGTGTGGGTTGGATGGGCTTTGCTGCAGCATCAGCTGAAGATGCTGGCATGGGAGGCAAATTCTGTCAAGCCAAACTGCAGGACCACCTGGAGAATGCAAGATCTGGGAGTGGGTCCAGTTGGGAAACAGCGCATACCTAACTATCAGGTTGCCATTCCAATTGATGAGCATGAGAACCAGGACTGGGACAGGCATGGCCAAATAGAGAGTGGAACCTGCTGGCACTTGTGTGTGGGCTAGATAGTGGGGCTGGCTGGGTTGAACTAGGCTTCAAGGTCCATTGACATGCATGAGAACCGAATGGGATGTGGGAAAGACTAGTCCAGTTTGCTATACATACTGGCAAGCACGGGAACCAGGGAAGGGGGTGGGCTCGGTAGTATGGCTTCTCTCCTTATATCTCCCCTTCCCCCAGATCCAGGAAGGAAAGAAAAAAATGTGGAAATAATGGTCTCACCGACCTTCCTGTAACCCTTGACCATTATCACCTTAATCAACTACATAAAATTCATCAAAAATAAAAATTATTTAAAAAGAAAAGATTTCTGAGCAAGAGTTTCCATAGGTGGTGGCAGACAAACCTGTTCACTGGTAGAGGACTGGCCTATGGCTTTCTTTCATTTGAAGGTACCTGGGCCTATTTGGGCACATTTTCAACTGAGTCAAGGAAAATGCTCAAATTCCTTTCCTGTAAAGCATTTACAGGAGAAAATGATACCAGGTGTGGGATGTAGAGTTTCTTCCAAAAACACTCCAAGAAAACAAGCAGGGGAGGGAAACAAGATTGGCAGAATACAGTTACCTGAAGCTGGTTGCTGGGACTATGGGGGGAGTGCTTCCAGCTGATCTATCTTCACACATGTTTTACAGGCTTCAAAGGTTATAATTTTTTTAGAACAATAGCTCAATAATTATTTCAAACAGGTGAGCTATCATCTAAGGTTTGAAACTCATAAAGATTTAAAAATTTTTAACAGAATATGTGACACAAACATAAAGATTTACACTTTTGTCAGAAATCTATTTTAACAAGACCACTCTGTAGCCCCAGAATAAGTGACATGAATCAAAGAGTAGTTATGGCACAGGGGTTTTTAGAGATTTCCAAAGGACCCTAAAGGCTCCATGAGTGGGCATTAGAAGGTTGACAAACTATAACTTTCGGTTATACCTGCCAATGTGTACTTTTCTGGGGGAGACGATCTAAAGTTTACATCAGATTTTCAAATGGATTGGAAACCTCCACCATCACAGCTGGAAGACAGTGAAGTCACAAGGACACTGTGGCATAATGAATTAAGTCACTGTCTGCAGTGCTGGCATGTCATATGGGCACAGATCCGAGTCTAGGCTGCTCCACTCCTGATCCAGCTCCCTGCTAGAGTCCCGGGGAAAGCAGAAGATAGTCCAACATCTCAGGCCCTGGCACCCACGTGGGAGATCTGAACGAAGTTCCTAGCTTCAGCCTGGCCCAGCTCTTGCAGCCATTTGTGGGGTAAACCAGAGGATAGCAAGATCTCAGATCCCTATTTCTCTCTCTCTCTCTAACTCTGCATTTCAAATAAATAAAAAAAAAATCTTTAAAAACAAATCAAAAACATGTAAGACATATCAAGCATATTTCCATGGTTACAAGCAGTTGTCAAAGAGATGACATAATTATGAGTTAAAAATAAGGGGAAAAATTGCTTGAAGATGCCTGACTTCAAAAGGTCAGTGTAGTTTGCATGGAACCCAGACTGAGCACAGCACAGGAAGGTATTTGGGAGCAGAGGCACCCCCAGGAAGAGCGAAGCATCAGTTTGCCTTCACATTGCTAAACCCCAAGCATATCAAGTGTGCAGGCATTCAGTGGTTTCTCTTACTTATCGGGAATCCAGAGTCTAACGGTTCTGTCCCGTGAGGCAGATGCCAACAAGTTTCCGAGGGGAGAAAACTGCACGCTGGTTACGACATCCTTGTGACCCACATATCTGAAAGCTCTAGCTTGTGGCTTGAAATTCCATAGCATGAGAAATGTATCCCAAGAGGCAGTAGCTATCAGGAAACAGAAGAATAAAACCACCGTTTGTTAAAACGCAAACACAGGCATGTTTCATTACAATAAGCAGTATATCTAATTACAAGGTGTTCAGGTAATAAAGAAACTGGAGGTTATAGCATCCACTAGGTAACAGCAAAACTATTTTTTAAAGACATTCAAGGCTACACAACTAATAGGTAAGCACATCCTACATAACCACACATCAGGACAACTGGCCCTAGTTTATAATCAGGGCTCAATAATTACTTATGTACAAGGTGGTAATGGCAAAGGATAATAGAAATTCAGTTCTTTAATTCTCTGGGTGACCATAGATAAATTGCTGACAAGGACTGAATGTTTTTTCTGAGAGGATTTTTTAAAAACTGTTTATTTGGAAATAAAAAAAATTAGTATAATAAAGAGCAACACTAATATACCCTTTAACCAAATCCACTTGTTAATATTTTGTCAGTTTGTTCTATAATTTGTTCTTGTGTTTACACAATACTGTATCTGTACATGAACACACACACATGCTCATGGACACAAACACATACAAAACTTTTTTTTCTTGAACTATCTGGAAGTCAGCTAAATAGTTCACAACATATTCAAAAGTACTTCGTGTGTTTGTCCGAAGACTACAGATATTCTCCTAAACATCATAGCACAATTGTCATCTTCAGGAAATTCATGATAGATGGATCCAATACTTTACTCTTTCAATCATAACTGCAGTTGTCTTGATTGATCCAGTGATGACGTTATAGTTGAATTAGATTATCTTAAAAGTCACTTGCTGGGCCCAGTGTGTGCAAGGCTAAACTCTCGCCTTGCAACTGACAGGATGCCATATGGGCACTGGTTCGTATCCCAGCTGCTCCACTTCCCACCCAGCTCCTTGCTTGTGGCCTGGGAAAGCAGTAGAGGATGGCCCAAAGCCTTGGAACCCTGCACCCACATGGGAAAGCAGAAGAAGCTCCTGGCTCTTGGCTTTGGATCAGCTCAGCTCCGGCTATTGCGGCCAAGTGTGAACCAGTGAACAAAAGATACTTCTCTTTGTCTTTCCTGCTCTCTGTAAATCTGCCTTTCCAAGAAAAATAAATCTTTAAAAGTCACCCTCCTTTTTTAAAAGCACAGTTAGTGTTTCACTACAGTTCATCCAAACTACTGAATATTTACATCAGGGGCTCAGTGATCTGGAGCTGATGTAAACTGAACAAGAGAAGCAAGGAATACTAACATGCAGGATACTTGGGGATCCTTAAGTTCTATGTATTGCGCTATAAAAAAAAGATACACAAAAGCTTTCTAAGAATTATAGTGGCATAGGTGACATCTATCAAGATACATACATATACAGAGGGCATTATATATTATTTAATCATTAATGTGATGTCAGGTGATTAGATGATCCTTTGAGATAATGGCACACTTGGAAGACTGAGGAACAGCAGAGAGGACAATGTGCCACAGCAGACAGGAGAGAAAAGAACGGTGAGAAGAGAAGAAGGAGGCAAGCCTTAAGCAACAAGACATGCTGAAGGCTGTGTGCATATTCTATTGTGAGAGCAATGGAAAACCATTGTAGCAGGTTGAGTAAAGAGAATGTCATGATCAGGCTTAAGAAAACTGCCACTCTAACAGAGGGCAATGGATGGTATTTTCAAACAAAATCTGGATATCCATAAAAGATGGTCTTAATTTTTACTCTGTATCTTGTAAACAAAGATTAATTCCATATGATTCATACATCTAAGTATAACAGGTAAAACAGGAAGCTTTTAAAATGGAATATGAAATACCTTGATAATCCTGGGCTAGGCAAAGAGTGCTTAAATAGGATATAGAAATCGTTAACAAGAAAAGAAAAAAAAAAAGAATGACTTTAATGACTCTTTGGGCTACAGTAGAATTAAGTTTTGTTTGTTTAAAGACACAACTAGCATAGTGAAAAAAAAAAGCCAGCATGGAAAGAAGGTATTTAAATACATATACTCAACAGAAAATGAAGTGTGTGTATATATATATAATCTATACAGGGGTCCTATAAATAAATTAAAGAGATATACCATGCAACAGGAACACAGGCAAAAGACATTCAATAAAAGAGATTTATAGGCAATACATATGAAAAGGTCTTCATTTCCATTGGTTATCAAGAGGAAAATTAATAACTACAATGAGATGTCATTGCACATTCACTACAGTGGTTACAACCAAAAAGACAACAACACTACATTTTGAAGATGTGGAACAACTAGAACTCTCATATGTAATATGGTTTAACCCCTTTGGAAGTGTTTTGAAATCACTAATGAAACTAAATATATACTTATCTCAACAACTCCACTCTTAAGTGCACATCTAACAGAAACACTTACGTTTAACAACACATGTAAAATAACAATTCAAAACAGACCACAACTAGATACCCTACCGTCCAGCAAAGTAAAATGTATATACAAATTGTGATACAACCGTATTGTATACCTACTGTGCAATTATTTATGTTATGAAATTTAGGAAGAAGCAAAATTAATCTAAGAAATTATCAGTAAGCAGAGAGATTATCTGGAAGTTAAGGAGGATGGTATCTCAAAGAGAGACAGGGAAGATGGGGAGGTATTGATGGCTGCATGCAGAAAGCTGGGATCGATAGGGATAAAGTGAACTCAGAATTCAAGACAAAAATCAATCTGGAGCCCAGTGTGGTAGCCCACTGGCTAAAGTCCTCACCTTGCATGCACTGGGATCCCATATGGGCACTGGTTCGTGTTCCAGCTGCTCCACTTTTTATCCAGCTTTCTGTTTGTGGCCTGAGAAAGCCGTAGAGGATGGCCCAAAGCCTTGGAACCCTGCACAAGCATGGGTGACCTGGAAGAGGCTCTGGGCTCCTGGCCTAAGATAGGCTCAGTTCTGGTGCTGCAGCCACTTAGGGAGTGAGCCAGCAGATAAAAGATCTTTCTGTCTGTCTCTCTCTCTCCCCTTCCCTTTGTAAATCTAATAAACAAATTGTTAAAAAAAAAAAAAGTCAATTTGGATATTACCACAAAAATTCACCCAGAAGCAGGCAATGGTCTGGACTAAGTTGGAAGCAGTATGAAAGGGGAAGATACTTATGCTAAAGGTACGGCCATAAAGGTACAGACAAAGGGATTTGTCTATGCATTAAAAGTGAGCAGGAGAAAGAGCAAAGGCATTGGGCTGGGGACCTAAGCACCCCGATGAATTGTGGTGCCATTTAATAAAATGAAGAAGAGCAGAAAAGGAGGTTTGCAGTGAAGTATAGGATGGTAAAAAAAAAAAAAAGACTTCCTTGAGCCGAGCCTGGTAAGTATGAAGTGCCAATTGGACTCGCAAACAGATCAAGGAGGGAGTGGGACCCAGAGAGGTTATGCCTGTCCAGTATGGTGGCTGAAAGAATGAGCCACAGGATCAGACTTCTTGGGCTCCAACCCAAGCTGTCATTTACCACTTGGCCCTTGGACACATCCCTGAGCCAACCTCTCTGTGCCCTGGATATTCTGTCTGTACGGTGAAGTGCTGAAAGTATTACATAACTTGTAAATCATGCTTGCCAAAGGGGAAATATTCAAACATAGCTATTACTGCCAAAGTGGTGATGGTCTTCCTAACAAAAGCAATAACTTAGACGAATAAACTTTATGATCCCTAAACTGGATATGATCACTTAACAAGTGAGTGAAGAAGGTAAAATTACTCACCTTTCAGATAAGAAAGAAAAAGGTCACAAATGAAGTAGGGAGACAGGGTGTAGAAAGCATGGCCTATGGGAAGACAGAAAGTATTCCACAAAGCGAGCTGCATCAAATTCTTTTTATTCTACTTTCTAAAAGATTCGATTTATTTCAAGGGCAAAATTACAACACAGACACACAAAGGGAGAGAGGAATGAAGGAGGAAGAAAAAAGGGAGAGGGAGGGAGAAAGGGAGAAAAGAAGGTGGGAAAGGAGAAAGAGAGAAAGGAGTAGCCACAGAGATCCTTTTATTCACTGGCTCACTTCCCAAATGGCCACAACAGCCAGGATGGCTGGGAAAGGCCAAAACCAGGAGCTTCGTTCAGGTCTCCTACATGCATGCAGTGGCTCACGCACTTGGGCCATCTTTCTCTGCTTTCCAAAGTATTATCAGGGGGCTGGATCAGAAGTGGAGCAGCCAGGTCTTAAACCAGTGCCTACAGTGCCCCAGGGAATACTGGCATCACAGGTGGCAGTGTTACCCACTACACCACAACACTACCCAGTTTCTGAAAATGCTTTTTTCAGAACTCCTTACACAGTATGCCATATATATGTATATGTATATATATATGGCATATATATATATAGGGCATATATAGTACAGTAAGAGATACATATATATATATATATATATATATATGGAGAGAGAGAGAGATAGCAGGCCTTTTGTAAAAAAAACTTAAGAATTTCATGACAGCAACAAGAAAATTTAAAGAAGGGTGAGTTTTTGTGCAGCTGAATAGGTGCAATGCCTTCAAAGTTGGCACACTGAGGATGAAATGTGGGCTTGGCAATAAGAATTATTCAGTGAAGCAGTGGGAATCAAGCTGCAATGGCCCCAGTTAAGGAGGAATGAAAGTGAGGCAGTTGAAACAGTAAACACAAGGATATAAAATCAATTCATTAACTCACTTAAGATTCAAAGTCCCCAACACTCAATATGATGTGGGCCAGAATAATCACACTGAAATCATAGGATCACAGTGCAGCAACAATTGTGTCAGGAGGTGACAGGGAGATGCTAAGAATGGGAAATTCAACTTCAAGGTGACAGACAACTTAGGCTTTAAATTCTGTCAACAGAAAAAGGAAGGGCATTTTAACCCAGGACAGATATCTCTGTTTTTCCTCCACATTCTCCTTGTATAATGCCTGGGATTGTGTATTTGTATAAAATGCAGCCTCAAAAAGTATAAGTTTGGAGCTTCTGGCTGTGTAGCCACGTTAAAACAATACACAATATACAT